CCATTACAATTGACTTCTGTCAACCACCACTCTCTGGGTCTGACCATGTAGCCAATTCCCCAGCCAGCGGATCGTGGAGAAGCTGAGGCCACAGTTGGCCAGTTTTGCCAAGAGGTGATCATGGGATACCAGACTGAAGGCTTTTTTAAAGTCAAGATATACAATATCAATCTCTTCCCCCTTGTCCAGGTGATAGGTCACCTGATCGTAAAAGGAAATAAGATTGGTCAAGCAAGACCTACCCATGACAAACCCATGCTGGCTATCCCTATGATTTTGCCATTGGCCAGTCTGATGAGGATGGTCTCCTGTAAGGTTGAACCACCAGTCTTTGAAATAAGCAAGGCGGCTCCCATTTTCTTCAGTGGTCCTCAAGATTAGGTCTTTAGCCACAATCTCTGCTATAGGGTCTTGTGTTCATCTACCAACTATCTCTCTCATCTTTCTAATTCCATTGTGACTCCATCTACTTTCCTTGATTGCCTTCTCCGTGACCTGTCTTTCTTTATCCTTCTCTTTTCTCACTTTTCCTTTTAGAAACACTTCCTTTATGTTCCTTCCTAAATGCTAACTGCTGACAAAACTGCAATCTCTTTAGGCGCCATCTAAAGAATTGCTAATACTGCTGTATAAAATGAGAATAAAAGGTGATCATTAACAGTGGAACCTTTAAAGAAGCTTGACAATCAAAGCAACAGAATGCTCTTGTGTAGCACCATTTTGCCCCTCTTCCTTTTCTCCAGCCACTGCTACCTGTTGTCTCCATTGCTGTTCTTTGTCTAAACATAGATCATAAACACTACTAGTAGTGGACTGTATAAAGGATACAGCCTTCTGTATAAAGGAGCCATATACTTGATTAAACAAGAAAAGTAGCAACAGTATAAAGTACAGCTCTACCTTCAATATACATTGAGAAAACAAAAATACCATGAATCACTGATAGTTCTGTAAACATTTTTAATGCATTTCTATTGTTTTACCTCCTTATCTTCAGTTTAAAACTCTGGTCACTATTCTTTGCTTTCATAATGCTACAAAAAGAATCATAGGACTGATCTTGAATTTTAAAGAATTCAAGGACATTGGACCTTTTTCATAATACAAAATCTTTTTAGAATAAAAGGGTATTCTAATTCAAAAGGTCAAACAGAAAATGTTAATGAAAACAGAACCAGTCAAGTCAAATAAAATAAGAAAATAAACAGGGATTTTGCTTCAGGCAGCTTGAATCTGATTTAAGCAGCAGTGTTGGAAAAATCCAGCTGTTGTTTACTGAAATGTGAAAAAATGTGCTGCTTCTTTTTGTGAGACAGCATTCCTGTTCCTTTAAGACAGGATGTTAACATTTTTCTTCACAGACAACAATCTGGATTCATTTTATGTACACTAACTAATCTGACCAATTACTTGAAAGCTAATTACTGAGATTTTACAAAATGGGTCAGCTAGCCCAAGGTATTTTAATTACTGGTATTTAATAAAGACAACTCCAGAATATAACCATACACTGATGTCTCACAACAGAATTACAGATATTTTAATAGTGATTGAACAAGCCTATGATCATCTTTGTTTTATAGCCTTGAGCTTAATTTAATTTTTGCTAATACAGAGCTAGGCTATGCTTTGGCAATTACAGTATATTACTCATGTTAGCAATTTACTTCTTGTCTCTGAACACACTCTGAATTTATTGTGCATTTCAAAGGACACCATCACTCTTTTAAGATAGCAAAATGACCAAGAAATTGTAAAAAGGATAGTCTACATCTGGAAGATTTTTGTGGTGAGCTTGGCCAAAGAAAGACAACCAACCCAAACCAACTGATCTGTCAAAACATTAAGTGAGAATATCAGCTACACTTCCTACTAACACATCTCTAATAATAAGAGCCAGTATTTTTCAGTCAGTATATGCTGATTATTAACAGAACCTTAGTGAGTGGGTCAATGGTATTATGTAAAACATTATCTGCTCTCTAAATCAAAATCTGAAAACAATTTAAATATTTATTGCAATTTTATACTGTTTATAAAAGCTCTAAAAGGTCAGTAGAGAGATCTGCTTCCACAATCTGTACTTAAACATTTATTTCTGTCTCATGGTCTCTAGGCTTTAAGTGCTTTAAGAGGAGATTGGAAAGAATTTGCTGCCCACTCATGATGATGCCTCATAAAAGGTTCTTCAAAAACGGATCAAAGGCTATAATTTCCATGCCATTTCTGTCCAATTTCCTTTTCTCTTAATGTTTTCATTTTTTGAAATGGCTATGATTGCAGTCCAATTTTGCCCACACAGCACTGCATGCCTAAATGAACCATTTATCACAAACTTTTTGTCTTTTTGATGCTTGTGATTTTATTTCCTTGGCAATTTTTCCTTTTTCCTTTTTTTTTTCCTTTTTAATTTTGTTTTTGTTATCACTCATACTGCATTGCAATTACCTTCAGTAATTATACCTGCAGTGGTTTACATTATTCTGTTCCCAGGTGCAACATCAAAACTTCTAGTACAAGCCAGTTAAACATTAACACTGATATTTGGTTTTTCCCACTTCACTGTCACCATGAAAAGGTTTACATAATCCTCCTAAAGGGGAGGGAGAGCTGAGAGAGGTCACTGGAGGGTACACCTTCTAGAAAGGGAAACCAGACTGCAACCCCCATATCTATGAAGTTGGTTTCACCATCAGGACCAAGATCGCTGATGCTCTCCCCAAGCTCCCTTTGGGTGTCAATGAAAGGCTGATGACCCTTCACCTGCACCTCAGCCAAAACCAAAGTGCCACTGTCAAAAACGCATATGCTTCAAATCTGGATTCTGATGAGGAAGTCAAGGAAAGGTTCTACTTCAATCTTGACAACACCCTTGCCTCCATCCCCAGGGTCAAGGTCATTCTCCTGGGTGACTTCAACACCCAGGTTGGACGTGACCACAAAATCTGGAGCAGAACTATCAGCAAGAATGGCGTGGGGAAGGCCAATGCCAATGGTATCCTGCTCCTGACCAAATGCACCCAACATGGCCTGACAGTGACAGACACCATCTTCCACCAGAAAGACTGGTTCAAAACCATGTGGAGGCATCCGAAGTTAGAGCACTGGCACATCTTGAACTACATTGTCATCCAAGGTAGAGACCTGAGGGACATGCTTGTCATGAGGGCTATGAAGGGATCTGAAGACTTCTGGACAGACCACCAACTTGTGCACTCAGTGATGAACATCCACCTGGTGTCAAGACACTGGAAGACCCAGAAAGCTACCTGGAGATGGATGAATGTCACAGCTCTGAAGGACCCTGGACAGCTGGAGGAGTTCCAGGCCCAGTTGTACAGTACACTGGAGCAAGTCCCTACTGCTGATGACATCTCCATCCAGGCACACTGGGAGCAACTCAAGTCCACTGTCCAAGATGCCTGTGCCCAGACTATTGGGTTCGCATTGCAATGGAACCAGGACTGGTTCAACGTCAATGACACTCAGATCCATGATCGCCTCAAGTGGAAGCATGCAGCCTTTAATTGCCTAGCAAAACCATCCATTCAGCAAAAGACAGCAGTGTACCACCAGCTGAAGGCTGAGGTCCAACCGTGCATCTGTGACATTAAGAACAACTGGTGGGTGGAGAAGGCATGCGTGATCCAGGGCTACGCTGACCAGCATGACATGCATAACTTCTTCCAGGCTACCAAGACAACCTACTCCATTGGACAGATTCCACTCCATTGGACAAAACCCCCTCTGATCACAGGACAGCTGCTGGCTCCTCAAGGACGATGATGCCATCCATCTGCATTGGAAGGAGCATTTTGAATTCCTCCTTAAGCGCAAGTCCACTGTATCAGAGGAGACCCTCCAAGCCATCCCGCAGCACCCTGTGGCGGATACCCTTTGTGATCCACCAACCATTGGAGAGCTGAAGTGGGCCATCCAACAGATGAAATCCAACAAAACCTGTAAGCCAGATGGTATACTCACAGAGGTCTACCATGCTGGCAGCTTCCAGCTCACATCAGGACTCCACCAGCTTATCCTCTGCCTTTGGGATGGAGAGGACATTGCCAGGGATCTCAAGAATATGACCATCATGACCATCTACAAGAAGGGGGACAAATCTATCTGTGGGAACTACAGGGGGATTTTCCTCCTGTCCATTGCTGGGCAGCTCTCCAAGAGGCCAAGTCAACCCAGATGTCCTGAAGGGGACAAGCCGGAGGCCCAAGCCAGGCAGCAGTTCCAGGACCCTGGGCACAAATCCAGGTTTGCCCTGGTGATCTGCCTGAGGATCAGGAAGGCCGGGGTGCTTCTGAATGGTCCTGGCAGGTATGCAGGGCTTTCGGGTCATTGGTCAGCAACCCCTCCGAGAGGGGCCAGGAGGCGACTGGCCCTGAGTGGTCCAGAGCAGAACCAAGCAGCCCTCCAAGAGGCCAAGTCAACCTGGAGGTCCCAAAGGGGATGAGCCAGAGGACCAAGCTGGGTGGCAGTTTCAGGAGCCCAGACAAATCCAGGTTCGCCCTGGTGACTAACTTGAGGGCCAGGAAGGCTGGGGCACTTCTTAATGGTCCCAGCAGGTATGTGGGACCTCAGGGTTGTTGCCCAGTGACCTCTCTGAGTGGACCTGGGTGGCAGCTGGCCCTGGCTGGATGGCACAGGGCCAGGCAGCCCTCCAGGAGGTTAAGTCAACCCAGAGGTCCCGAAGGGGATGAGCTGGAGGCCCAAGCCAGGTGGCAGGTTTCAGGATCCTGGACACAAATCCAGGTTTGCCCCGGTGACTGGTCAAGGAGCCAGGCAGGCGGGGGCACTTCAGGACGGTCCTGGCACATACGCGGGGCCTCAGGGTCGGGGTCCAGTGACTCCTCCAAGTGGAATCGGGAGGCAGCTGACCCTGATCAGACTGGGGCAGAGCCTAGCAGCCCTCCAAGAGGCCTAGTCAACCCAGAGGTCCTGAAAGGGATGAGCTGGAGGCCCACACTGGGCAGCACTTCCAGGAGCCCAGCCATGGATCCAGGCTTGCCCTGGTGACCATCCCAAGGGCCGGACAGCCCCGCACACTTCTGTGTTCTGTCTGGTTCTGCTCGGAGGGGTTGCTGGGTGCGAGGTTAGCCTTGGGTTCTTAGACCATGACCCTCATTTCTGCACAGAGGACATGTTCGGGCAGGATGGGCTTCATCTCTGCCTGAAAGGTAGGCATGTTTTTTTTTCCAGTCTGGCTGATCACATACGGTGAAATTTAAACTAGGTTCTCAGAGGGATGGGGATGCAGAGGAACATGACACTTTGCCATCAAGCCAGGTGATGCATGCAGGTTGTACTCAGGTAAGTGACAGGGGCAAGGGCAGGCTTAGGTACAAGGGGGCGGCATGTGCACCTACAGGAGGCCTCAAATGTCTCTACACAAATGCTTGAAGAATGGGGAATAAGCAGGAGGAACTTGTCCTCCTGCTAGCTAGCAAAAACCCAGAGCTAGTGGGGCTCATGGAGACCTGGTGGGATTCTACCCATGACTGGGCAGTGGGCATTGAAGGCTACAGGCTTTACAGATGAGACAGAGCAGGGGAAAAAAGGGAGAGGGGTGTAGCAGTCTACATCAAAGAGCAATACATGTCCTCAATGATCAAGATGGGGTCAGAGGAGGGGCAAACTGAGGCACTCTGGGTAAGAATGCAAGGTGGTTGTGGGGAAAGGGACTTGATAGTGAGCATCCACTACAGACCTCCTCATTAGGGGGATAAGCTGGACCTGGAATTCTCAGGTCAGCTCACGGAGGCTGTAAAGGCAAGAGATGTGGTTGTCATGAGTGACCTAAAACTACCCAGACATCTGCTGGGAGGAGCAGTAAGCCAGGTCCAACTGCTCATGTAGTTCCTAGCTGGGATACAGGACCTCCACCTAACCCAGGAGGTGTATAGTCCCACCAGGGGAAATGACTTGCTGGACTTGGTCCTTGCCACAGGTGACAACCTGGCGAGGGGTCTGCAGGTACTCAACCACTTGGGCGACAGTGATCATTGCCTGCTGGAATTTACTATCCAGCACAGGGTGCTGAAAGCAAGCAGTAATGCAAAAGTCCTTGATTTCAGGAAGGCTGACTTCAAAGACCTAAGATTAGTAGGAGAGGCATTGGGGTCTTGAATCTTCAATGAGATGGGAGTCTAAGATGGGTGGTTGTTCCTCAAGGAAATAATCCTCCAAGCTCAAAGGGAGTCAGTCCCAATGCATACCAAGGGGGGCAAGAGTGCTAAAAAGCCCCCATGGCTTGGCAAATGCATCCAGGAATGCCTGAGAGCAAAAAGGAGGTGTACAAACAGTGGAAGCAAGGAGCTATCACTAAGGAGGCTTACACCTGTGTTGCTCATGACTGCAGGGAGGCTGTTAGGAAGGCCAAGGCAGAAATGGAGCTATGGCTGGTGACCAGAATTAAGGATAACAAGAAGTACTTTTTCAAATACATAGAGAGTAAGAAGGCAAAACCGGGTAATGTGGTGCCCCTACAAAACAGGTTTGGCAATCTGGTGATAGCAGCAAATGAAAAAGCTGACCTCTTTAACAAATTATTTGCCTCCATATTCCTGAACAAGAACCGGGACATATCCCTCACTAGGATTATGGATGGACCCAGGGGAGGGACCGCCATGCCTAGGGTCAGGGACAACTTCGTTAGGGAACTTTTGCAGGGGCTGGACGTGTTTAAATCAGCAGGTCCAGATGCTCTTCACCTGAGGGTGCTGAGGGATGGCAGGGGTCATAGCGGGCCCCTGGCATGGCTGTATGAGCACTCATGGGGCTCTGGCCAGGTACCAGAGGATTGGAAAAGGGCCAATGTGATCCCCATTTACAAGAAAGGGAGAAAGGAGGACCCCAGCAATTATAGACTAGTCAGTCTTACCTTGGTCCTTGGGAAGACCTTTGACAAAATTATCAAGGAACACATCTGCAGGGGCCCAGCAGGGGAGGTAATGCTCAGGGGAAGCCAACATGGGTTCACTGAGGGCAGATCCTGCCCAACTAACCTGGTTTCCTTTTATGACCAGGTCACCAAGTCCTTGGATGGGGGCATTGAGGTGGATGACATCTACCTGGACTTCAAGAAGGCCTTTGACACTGTTTCTCACCACATTCTCATAAAAAAAACTAGGTGACTGCAGCATTAATGCCTACACAGTCAGATGGGTGGACACTTTGCTAGATGGCTGCACCCAGAGACTGGCGGTGGACAGATTGTTTTTGACCTGGAGGGATGTGGGCAGTGGAATCCCCGAGGGATTGGTACCAGGGCCTGTACTGTTCAACATCTTTATCAGTGATCTCTATGTGGGTGTGGAAAGCACGCTGTCCAAATTCACTGGTGACACCAAGATGTGGGGCGAGGTGGGCACACTGGGAGGGACAGAATCCAGCTAGATTTAGACAGGTTACAGAGGTGGGTGAATGAAAATAGGATGGAATTCAATGCAGACAAGTGCAGGGTACTGTATCTAGGGAGAAGGAACCAGCAACACACCTATAGGCTGGAGAACACCCTTCCAGTCAACACAGTGGCAGAAAGGGATCTTGGAGTTATTGTTGACTGCAGGATCAACATGAGCTGCCAATGCGAGGAAGCAGTCACTAAGGGTAACTGCACCTTGTTGTACATCTACAGATGCATCACAAGCAGGTCCAGGGAGGTGATCCTTCCCCTCTATGCGGCATTACCCAGGCCACAGTTGGACTACTGCATCCAGTTCTAGGATGCACTTCAAGAGGGATGTGGCTAGCATTGAGAAGGTCCAGAAGAGGACCACTTGCATAGTCAAGGGGCAGCGGGTCAGGCCCTACGAAGAGAGGCTAAAGAGCCTGAATCTATTCAGCCTCCACAAGAAAAGGCTGAGAGAGGATCTGGTGGCCGTTTACAAACTCACCAGGGAGGACCAGCAGAAATTAAGTGAGGCTCTGTTCCCTCGGGTACCACTGGAATAGTGGCTATGAATTGTTAGAGAGAAGGTTCAGGCTGGACATCAGGAGACATTACTTTATGGTTATGGCTACCAGGCTCTGGAATGGACTCCCAAGGGAGGTGGTGCTCTCTTCTACCTTGGGAGTCTTCAAGAGGAGGCTGGATAGATATTTGGCTGGGGTGTTATGACCCCAGCACTTGTTCCTGCCTGATGATCTGTTTAGGTTCCTTCCAACCCTATGACACTATAACACTATCATTATGACTAAGATTCTGGCCAGCATCCTCCTGAACTGTCTTCATCCCATCACTGAGGAGATCCTTCCAGAAACCCAGTGCGGATTCTGACCATCCTGGGGCACTGCGGACATGGTTTTTGTTGCCAGGCAGATCCAAGAAAAACGTCAGGAGCAAAATTAAGAACTGTTCCTCATTTGCATTGACCTGACCAAGGCATTCGTTTCCTTAAATTGTGAAGCTCTGTAGACCATCCTCCAATGCCTTGGCTGCACGCTGAAATTTGTCACCATGCTGAGGCCCCTGCATGATGATATAACCACCACAGTCCTGAGCGGAAGAGCTGAAATTGACGTCTTCCACATCTGGGCCAGGGTCAAACAAGGTTGCGTGATCACTCCCACCCTGTTCACTATCTATCTGACCATCATCATCTACCTTATCTGAGATGATCTACCATCTGGCATCAGTATCCAGTATTGACTGGATGGGAAGCTTTTCAATCTTGGGCACTTCTGGACATAAACAAAACTCACCACTTTGAAAATTTTGTGGCTTTCAAAATTAGTGATGAAATTTCAGAATCTTTAATTTACCAGCATACCTGTATACCTTTCTACTTTAGTTCTATGTCTCTTTCTACATTCCACCCACTAATAAATGGCTTATTTACAATAGATTTGAATACTGTATTACTAGGGACCTACCAGATTAATAAGCCAAGGTGGCCAAATGGGCCAAGGTGGCTCTAACATGGCCAGGGCCCCTGATTTCACTGCTGTATCATGGCTAGGGTTGCCATTTTGAAGGTCAGGGTTGCCATTTTGAAGGCAGACCAAAGTGCCTCTCCATGCCTCTGATTGGCTGCAAGTCCCACCCCTTCCACGCATTGATTGAAAACCCTAGCTCAGGGATTGGCAATGTTTTTGGGCCGAGTGCCAAAACCCATGCAACTTCAACTTGGAAGATGTTGGCATGCCAGGGTCAGATGGCAGGGGAGCTACGAAGGGCCCGATCCTCATTGTGGCAGTGTAGCCCTGGTCCCTTCCCTGCTGTCTGCCGAGAGGCCTGCATGCAGCTGCCACTAGCAACGAGCTGGGGAGGGCAGGGGGGAGAAGACTCCTGTTTGGGAGCAATACAAGCCATTTCTTTCCTCCCTTTCCTGTCGAATGCTGTTGCTCCTGTGTCTGTCTTTCCAAAAAAAGCTCCAGGCTTCTCCCTTTCCTTTGTACTGGAGCTTGGACAGTGAGTACGTGTGTGTATGTGTGTGGTGGGGGGGGAGGGAGTGGAGATTGAAGGAGAAACAGGAAGGGCAGAAGGAGTGGTACCAAGACTTAAAACGGGTTACAGGGAGGAAGCAGCTGCCCCTCCATTCGGGGGGGGGGAGGGGAGAAGGCAGGGACACCAAGCAGGACAGGGGAAGGGGCCTGCTGTTCATCACCCCTGGG